CGAACTACATAGGGTCCGAGAAAGAAGAGGAGATAAGTCGTGTCCTATCTGGGTTTTCTGTTACTCTAAGGCCCAGAAAAATTCAAACTTTTTTTTATCAATCGTCGTTTGATACAAGCTTCAGTCTGTATATAATTCAAATCACGTTTCAGTAAAACAATGACTTTCATGTAAGCGTAAGGTTCATCGCTTGAATAACATTCTTAAGAGTTCGTAATCTTCAAGTTATTCCTTGTCCTATCGTTTGGAATGTTTAATACAGTCGTGATGTTGAGGGAAAAGAAGTTATGTCACGGATTTTGTTTTCCATGGAAAGTTTCAAATGATAGCGAACGGCGTGAGCAAGTTTCTACTTCTTTCTTTCTTGAGTTAACTACCTTAGGATTTACGCTATTTATTTAAAAAAACGCGCTTTGTCGAAGATGTGTTGTTTTACCCTAGAAACGAAGTAATGGCTTTCCCCAAAATTGAAATAAATTGAGATTGAGTCAGCGATGTTCATGTTTACATTAAGTCTGACGCGGTAATTTGATTTTGACAATATTGTCATTTGAGAACCCGTCAAACATCTGGGAATTGAATGACGGGCCGCAAATGTGTGGTAAAAACAAACTCGAGGGTGAAATGGAGTTAGTCTAACTGCGGAATGAGTGAATTTCATGGTTTGGTCATGTTACTTTCAGCTTTCTACTCGATTTTTTCGAACTTCGGGAAATGGCTTGACTCACAAAACATAAAATATAAAAAATCCTTGTCTTCTTATAGACAAGTATCGGCCTCTCTTATCACAAACCTTTTATCATTTGGCTGTCCAAAACGTTCACTTCACTATTTACAAGTATTTTTTTTTTCGTTTAATAATTGAAGATCAATGTCTGGTCGATTAAATGATAAAACATGAAAACGAAGCTGATGCTCTAAGTTGTTTATCCTCTGCTTCTAGTTTAGGATGATAGTTTTAAAGTTTCCAGACTGTCACTACAGTGCCACTGATAGTATCCTCGAAGAACTAATATCAAGTCATTAATATTGGGCAGGACATTATTCATTGCTCATGCAATAGTCGTACAAAGCTTCCAAAGCACATAGACCTAGCACTATGTCTGCACCATTTCACCTCATCGCGTCTCCTTGTAACACTCCTCAACACTGGGGGACACTGTTGCAGTTGTGACGAACTACGTGCGACAGACACTAGTATCGCAGCGGGAGTACTAGCTAGGGCGGACAAGTATGGCACTGTTGTACCGACAAATATAGCACCTGGCCCGTTTCTTTAACTTGTGGCAGACAACACAGATGTCAATGAAGAAACCCTCGATGGAAAAAAAACACAACTCATGCGACATTCATGGTTGTATCCTAGAGACGGCCGTATGGACTAGAACCACCCCCCAGTCCAACTGACAACCGCAATGACAGGAGGTAATTTAGTGTTAACAACTGAGTTGAAAACGTAAATTAGCCACCTTAAGGGGTAAACTTTACGGTGGCTAATTTACGTTTTCAACTCAGTTGTTAACACTAAATTACCTGCTATACTCTCCCACCGACGCAGCACCACAGTTTCTTTAGAAACTTACACCTTTATTCACAATGACAGGAAACTATCCCCACATGCAGGGGGAAGGACTTACGAACTACAAGAATGCTCTGCACTTGAGAGACGACCTCATGTCACTTTTTATACTGGTCAGGTTAAAGAAGAGTGGTTTAAAGAAGAAAGTGAGGTGCTTGAGTTAGCACGTTGCGCTGAAGAAGTATGGAAAGTCATGAGGTTGCATCCCTCAGGTCTAGCAGAATCACTGCTTCGGGAAGTAATCGCAAGTCACCTAGTTCCTGGATGGAGTGTATTCAACGCACTGCTTCATCCAGAGTTACCAGAAATTAGCGTGGTTTGCTACTGCCCCCTAATAGATGGCTCTTCAACGGAGTTCAGAACAGTATACACTGTTCTCAAGCACGCTGAAGCCATCAGTAATACCATGGGTCAGGAGGATACAGAAATAACATTTGATCTTGCTATCTATGTGAAGGCCAAGCAAATACAGTGGAGGTTTGCGAACGAGTTTTCCCTTTTACCGAGATTTTTTCTTTCTTAATGAGTTTTCCGATGTCGTGATTTGAATGGACACGTTTCATATCGCATTGAACTTCTTAGCGATTATTGGCAAAAAGTACCTAAACTCGAGCCTTGAAGATCTGCTGGTCGAGTCAGAGGTGTATACCGCTGGGACGACATTTTTATTAATAAAAGGAAAATCGTATAACAGAGGATGTACTTGTCATACATACGGCGCACTTTCACAGCCTTTCGTGTGAAGAATTATGGTTCCAAACAGGTGTAAATGGCCGGTTAAGATTTGTTCCGGTGAATAAAGTGTCTCAAGAACTAGGAGAGCAAATGTGTAACGCATTTTTGGGGTTTCATCCCCTCACAGGGTGTGACTCGAAGAGTTCCTTGGCTGGGATTGGAAAAAAGACAGGTAGGAATGTACTCAAGCGCAGTGCTGCCCATCAGCATGCCAACATATGATTCGTAAAGAGTGAAACAGTATAAATATACAATTTTAGATGCGCTATTTTTTTCCTAATTGGGTGATAAACGATCAACGTTCTAACGCAGTTGCTTTTTAGTAGTAGTTTCGCAAAATTTAAACTGTAACAGTAGATTGTAGATGTAGAGGACATCTTGGTCAAGACTGATTTATATTACTACATGTAAAACGTTTTTCTGAAAAGAATTGATGTTAGTTCTTCAAGGATTCACTGTAATGACAGTCTCATAACTTTAAAACTATCATCTTAAACTAGAAGCAGAGGATAAACAACTTAGAGTATTAGCCTCGTTTTCATGTTTTGCCAGTTTAATCGACCAGGCACTGATCTTCGATCTTTAAACGAAGAACAAAATACCTGTAAATGATGAAGTGAACGTTTTGGACAGCCAAATGATAAAAGGTTTGTGATAAGAGAGGCCGAGGATCAAATTTCATACTTGTTTATAAAAAGACAAGAATTTTTTTATATTTTCAAGGGTTTCTTAGATATTTTCCTTGTCACGCGATGTCACGTGACGTCGCTTTATGGTAAAATTAAACCAATGAAGCAAGTATTTTGAACGAACTGGGTGGTTGGACCGCAAATGTTTGTGAGGGTTCGAAAAAAAGGAGTAAACAAATGTCCTCGTTTTCTTGCTGACGAAAGGGTGACGTATCAAAACCCCCTTTCTCTCTGATCGTATATCACTTCTCGACTTAACGAAGTAGCGAGCCTTACTCAGGAGTTCTTGGTCTGATGAAATCCACAGTCAAACCTTTTCTAGCTGGTGGGTTGAACGAAACCCGATTTTCCGGTCTCTGCTAACGGACTAGTAATATTGTAGATGAAAAAATTACGCTGACTGACTGGCTGAAATCGAGTGCATTCTCATGTAACACGAGTACAAAGTTATAACACGAGGGCAAATTACAAATGGCACACGCACCCTTTCCATATTTCGTATGTCCAACTTTCTTTGATGCTTTTTCGTGTGCATTATTACTTTCTTTTGAATTTGCAAATCATTATCATTATATTATCATT